ATAACGCCCATGGACGTTATTTCAGGTTTACCACAAAATCACGAAAGACAGATTACCGAAAGGACAAAATACCGACAAAGTTAGCCAGCATTGGTTATAATGTTGGCCAATTTGGTCAGTATTATGTTCTTTCGGAAAAATGGGTTTCGGGATTTTGTGGTAGAACCCCGCCGAATACCTGCTGATTATCAGCAGCATATTGGCAGCATATTTGTAAGATATCATGAGGTAGATCGACATCGGTAACATAACAGTACAATATTGGGATAGCTGATAGCATAGCTGATATATTATCACTCTGGGCCTAAATGTAAGATATCGGGGTAACCAAATATGCTGTCATGTTGCTGATATCGATCTACCTCCCAATATCTTACCAATATGCTGCAGGTATTTGGTGTCAGACTAATGGGTACATTTCGGGAAACTTTTCTTCTGGTATGCGCCCGATATTCATTGATTCAACTTGTGTGAATTAATAAAACTTCTTCAGTTTACATGAAAATTTCAGAATATATGCAATTTATTATTTTTGACAACTTTATTTAAAATATAAAATTTATTGACTTAGTAAAATTTTTGACTTTAATATATAGCTACGATTATCGATTATATTTTAATTTTGTTTGGCGCAACTTCTGATTGGCTAAATGGCAATAGAATATCAATTAACATATGTTAAATGACTTTCTAAGTCATTTGGGTCTCGAAATGATCCAATGACTAGTCATTTGTCATTTGAGTCATTTGGGTCATTTCAGGTCATTTACCATCACTGCCATAACGGGCTAGGGTTATATGAGCTTTATAGGTAAAATCGTCCGCCAGATATTTTTTCTTAATGCACAAGATAGGTTCAGACATTTGTTTCTTGTATTTTCGCATTTTTTACTTTATTTGTTTGATCCGTATAAACAAAAAATTCATAATTTTGATTGGTCAAAATCTTGTGACTTTAACGGATCCCTCTTTATAGTTGGTGTTAGGATGATCATTATAACAGCTCTTTTTAGGATGAGAAAGTTCGTATTTTAAAAGCACTTTGATTAGTGTTAGGATGTGAAGGCTCTTATTATAAAATCACTCTAACAGCTAGTTTTAGGATGATAATCTTTTAACATCTTTATGATTAGTGTTAGGATGAGAAAGTTTGTATTATAAATCATTATAAGCTCTTTATGATTTGTGTTAGGGTGTGAAAGTTCGTATTATAAAGGCTCTTTATAGTTAGTGTTAGGGTACGAAAGTTCTTATTATGAAAGTTCTTTATGGTTAGTATTAGGATGTGTAAGTTCGTATTATAAAATCAGGGATAGGTCTAGCCGATCGCTATAGCCGTAGTCGATGTAGTCGACTATAGCGGCTTAGCTGACCGGCTAGCCGATCCTAAATTTTTTTATTTCCTGGCCTATAAATCAAATTACTGCTTAATTCAGCATGAAGTGTACAAATTATATAGAATTATTGCAAGAAATACCCTAGCTATCGCTTCACAGCAGATTTTCGATTTGATTGGCTAAGAGCAACAATCAAAAATCTAGTCTGAAATTACTCAAAATCCTTCACAGCTGCATATTAAGTGAAAATGTCCTAGAATAATTTTACCATAGTATAGGCTTATTTCCTTAAAAATATGTATTATTGTAATAAAAAGTTAAAAACAATTCCGGCCAAAAAATTACGTAACAGTTGTATATTGCGGGTCAAATTTTGTAGACCACGTAATTAAAATTGAAAATCTGTGGCAAAATTGGTGCGACAGCTAAGATATTTTTATTGTTTTATAGTAATTTATAGTAAAAATCAAGATAAAAAAATTGATCGAATTTGATCAGGTGAGTGCTAAGTAGTGATATGGGCCGACCTCGGCCCCATCATTCGGGCCGACGCCGGGCCGAGAGTCGACCCGTAACTTCATTGGGGCCGATTAAGGTAAAATAAAAATTTTTTTTAGCAAAAAATTGCAATAATGATAATATTGTATTATTATGTTGAATAAAGCTACAGGTGTATTATAAAATTGAGAATTGAAAGCATTATTTTTAATGATTAAAAATTCTTGATTTTTTATTTCAACTTGTTAGACTTGCATAGATTCGTAAATTCTACAAAATACAATTCACTCTAGTTATAGTGAACCCTCATTATAGTGAACTATAGTTATAGTGAACTCTCGCTATAGTGAAGGTTCGATATAATTAAGAATTTTTTGAATTCCGGAATTATTAAATTTCAATTTGATATAGTGAAGTATATATAGTATTCTCTCAATATAAGCTATAGTGAAGATTTTTTCCCAGACCGGGGACTTCACTATAACAAAAATAAGCATATACCTATCTGCTTGCCTTCCGCATTTTCCTAAATTAGCATATTGTTATAAGTTACATCTTGTACTGTTTGGTTCGGGAGAGCAGCGCATAATAAATGCGTAACGTAGCTCCAACCAATACTTGAAATTTTGAATGGAACAAAGTTTTTAATGGGCATAATAATTCTGTAATAACGAGTCAATAATGATTTGGACTTAATGAAAGAAGATCACTATGACTATACTACTTTATGATAACCTTCTTAAAATATTTGCTTCGTGCTAAACATTATTTTCTGGAACCTACTATATTTATCAGAGGCATTATCATGTTAGCCTTGTATCAATATGAATATTGCATACTGTGAACTTTAACAATCACGTATTAATTTAGTTAGCGATCAACTACACCAAAAATGAAAAGGTTATAAAACTAATTCAATACATATTATGTGCGTGGCTTATCTGTGATTTTTTTGGCTGAAATTTCTTTTTTGTAAAATAGTCAGCCCGGTCGACCGGACCGCACTACATTATTGTCAGTCCGGCCCAAAGTTTTGTTATCGGCCCATATCACTAGTGCTAAGTGAAAGTTTAGGTAAAACTCGTAAAATTTTTTTTATTTTAATTCTACAAAAGATTAGAATTAAAATAAAAAAATTACTGTGTTTATTCAAGTAATTACAAAGAAATCTTCGCTAGGATCTTGAAAATTTTTCAAAATTTCATGTAGGCTGATTTCAACCGATTTACATTTTCAAAACAATCTAATTCTGGTCAAATTTGCAGATTCTCCAATAGGCTAAATGATCTACAAATTTGATCAGAATTAGATTGTTTTGTAGATCGGATCTTCAATATTTCCCGAACTTTTTTTCGCCATGACTAGGGTGCTCTAATATGTATAACTGTATAACATATTAAAATACAACTATTTGTCACTTGTTTACAGTCAGAACTCCATAAATGCACATTCTATAAATGTACGGACTAAGTAAAAACTCTATAAATGCACAGTATGGTCTGGTCCCAACTCATAAGAACTATATAATTTCTACTCTATAAATCTAAATGCACTATTTCAAATTTTTTCCTATGGTCCCGACGGCTGTGCATTTATAGAGTTCTGACTGTATATGTTTGATTGAAAAGTTGATTAAGAAATTGATCAGGTAATTTATCGGCTATAGCCGGCTACCAATGATAGCTGACCGATAGCTGACCTAGCTGACAGAACTATACATGGGTGTCTAAATTATTTTTGAAAAATCGTATTTTCGGCAAACATTTCGGCATTGCCAAATTTTTTATATGAAACCCTTCGAAATAACTATATGGTTTATTTTGATGAAAAGGGTTCAAAAAATTTCGGCAATAATTTCGGTAAATATGAAAATTAATTTGGCACTATATAAGACTAATTTCGGCTGCCTAAATGCCGTAATTACTTTTTTATTAAGATGGGCACCCATGTATACCTGTCCCAGATTTCTATTTGATGTAAAAAAACATTATATGATCTACGTTACACTTGATCAAGAAAGATCGGGTGATACGAATATCACAGTTATGTTTAAAGGACCGGTCCTTTAATGGTTCCACGGTCCTTATCGGTCCCGGTCCTGGACAGGTCTTTTTCAGGACCGACGCATCCCTATGTAGATCTGTAAAGTGTGTTCAAAAGTGCATTTACGTCAATCAATAGTGTAGTGCTTTCGTATATAGGACAATTTAAGAATTTTAAGACATTCAAAAACAAATCTTTTATTTTAGTATAATCTGAAAACCAACTTTATTAATATGGATACTTATCGACATTATGTTATTAGTTTATAGTATGGGTATCAATTTAAAGGTTAGTAATGGTACAAAAATTTGGCAGTTCCGTGATTTTTGAGATTATGAACCATGAAATTGGGCTTGTGCACAGAATTATATCTCATGAAAAAGTTAAATATACAATCATTAATAGATCCAATTACAATATAACTTCACGCGTGACAAATCTGTATCGTATTACATAAATAAAAAAAAAGTATTTTTTTTTTATCTTTATACTTTTTTGACTTTATTAAATTTCACTGGAGCTTCCATCGCGTAGTAAAAAAAATATGACTGGAAGGGTACAGTGACAACTTACCACTGGAACCTAAATATCTTCCTTTTTCAACCAGTTAGTTCCAGTAATCCTTCCGATTCCAGTGAAATTTACTGGACCGGTCTAGCAACAACACTGATCTATATACTAAAAAAATCAATTCCTATTTAATTGATTAATAATCAATTCCAGTAATTTTGAAAATTTCTCATCCAGTAAGCAGGATTGTATACTATGTCGTATGATAATTGTGAAGAATCTCCACACTTGCAACCAATAGAAGCAGGATCTACCGCCTCTTATGGATAACTGAGGATTAATGCTTATGATTTTTACCATAAAATTTTCAGGTTTATATAAATTTATACGCAATAATATAAAATTTTCGATTCCCCATATTTCACTATATTTTAGATAATTAATCAGATGAAAATAATTAGTCTCATGTCGGATATTATGTTTTGTATATGGAAATCACATCGATAAAAGTTTATTTCATAAGAAAGATTTTCTTAAACAAGAGATATAAATAAGTTCACTCGCTTACACGGTAATGGCGCATACTGTATCATAAATAATCATAATTTCATCATGAATCATAATTACTTTATTATTTTATTTCTTGCAATTTTCCTTATACAAGTTGAAAAAATCCACGGCGGATATCGTCCTGTTGGAGAAGGTGATCAGACTAGTGGTGGTATGTTAATTTTTGTTCAAAATACTCTCTAGTAATAAAAAAATTAGCTCCTTTTTTTACATAGGTTCTGAGATTCAAAAGGTGACATTTTCATCAGGAAAAATCACAGTTACGACTAATATCGAAGAAAAGGATCAAAATGGAAATAATAAACATACGGAGGGAATCGGTCACTTTACCTTCAATTATAATGATGCCAATGGCAAACATGTCGAAGTGCGTATTAATAAGGCGGCCGAACTTGTTAATAACCATGATTGTAGTGGTAACGTTGACCCTAATGAAGTTAATCCATTCACAAAGATCTGGAAGTTTGACTCAGCAGTAACACCTCCATCTGGGACAGATGTTGCCGTTTATCTATCAATATATTGGGATTGTATGGTGGCACCGAAGGTAATGGTAGAATAGGCTGTAGCCATGAAGAGGTTTCCTTTCAAACAAAAGCGTGATCATTATGATTACAATATTTAATATTTTGTTATTTTTAGTATTTCACATGTTTTTTATGTTTCATATCTTATTGTTATCAATCATCATTATATAATTTAGGAATATATTTGTTTCCTGATTAATATTTTTTTATATATGTGTAATAAAATTATTTTTTTCGGAATTGTTTATTTATTCACTCTCGAAAACAAATAATCTTTCCATTAATCGATTAGAAATAAGTTATTTTTTATTGTATTCATTGTAGAATAGAACAAGTACCCAAATTCTCCAAAAAAAATTAATAAATATGGTATATTTTACAACCGGCTAACCTATTTCAAGATGAAACCCGCTTTGGAACTTAATGTTTGGATTTTTAAAAAAATTTGGACGTTTATTGCATAATAAGTTCAAACGAATTATTTTGTGCGACTAACTAAAAGTACTCTATATGTTTACTATACTGTATATACTAGGAAAACGGGATCCGTTGGGTTCCGGAGCGCCGCTTCATATTAGCAAATAAATATCAAAATTGCTTCGTAAACCTACTAATTTAAAATATTTAGTGAAAATTTTTTTAGTGTAATGTATAACTATTATTTACTTATCTGTATGCTTTATAAAAATTCATAAGCTATTAATTTCTGTAAATAAGTATTTCATTAGGTTAATATGATGTAATTATATCATGATTAGTGATGTATTGTTCTTACATAATTAGATCACAAAATTTAAACAATTAATTCTCATTAAATCTTAATATTTAAAGCAGTTTGTAAAACGGCTATAAGAAAATAAAACAATAGTAATTTTTAAAAATTACATTCGCTTATAACGATCCTTAAAAGTTGATATACAGGGTTATGAGAACAAATTAATTAAATTTATATGGTCTTATTATGTGCGAAATTAATTAAACATTGTGCTTATATCTATAAGGCGTTTCTCTTCTAGTATTCGTTCTTGCACCCTTGTGCACTTTTTAATACGTTGAAGTCTCTCAAAGGTAAAATGCTCAAAGATTATATCACTAATAGATCGAACCCGTGATATTGCTACGAATGAGAGGCCAGCTGCAAACTCTCTTTCTCCAATGTTTATTACAGCTTTAGGGAGAGTTAATCCCTGAGATTTATGTACTGTGATTGCCCACGCAAGTATTAGAGGAATTTGGAGGCGAGAACATGTGCCAAACTTTCCATCCCAGGTTCTTCTAATAGGAGCTATTGGTACAACTTGAACACCTTCAGGAGTAGTAATTGTAGGTCCATGATAATCATCAAATGCGACCAGAACTGAGTTAGGTAGTGAAGTGGGGCTATGTCCTTCGTCATATATAATATCTATAATTCTTCCCATAGCACCATTAACAAGTCCAGCAGAAGTCCAGAGATTTGTAGTTAGCATTACATGTGCTCCTCTGGCAAGTAACAGTTCAGCTTCCAAACCCTTTGCGACATCAGAATCGGCTTTCAAAGCCTCATGATTATCACTATGAACTGCGCATATTCTTGCAACAGGTTGATTCAATGATTGCAGTTTTTCAAGATTGACTTTATCAACGGCATCCCACTTAGGTAAAACATAAATAGCATTAGAAAAAATCTCCCGTTCTTGTATAGTTAATTTTTCTGGAAGTCTTCTCATTAGCATTTCCCAGTCTGAAATAGTGGATTTACCATCACGAAGACGTATCAAAAGAGATCTAAATTGACTTTGTTCTTCTGAGTTGCCAGTTTGACGTTGTACAATATTAAGTTTGTAGACCTCACGAAATTGAGAATAGACTGTACGTCCATCTTCAGATAAAGCATCAGAGGGACGGGAATCTTGTGCATACATAGGGAGATCACAAACTGGTGGAAGCTGCCCAAAGTCTCCAACAAAAATGACAGAACGACCCCCAAATGGAAGGTCTTGGCAATCAGGAAATGCTTGGCGCAATCTCAAGTCTATCAAAGCAAGAGTACGTCGTCCTACCATACTCATTTCATCAATTATAAAATAGCTTACCCACTGCAGTTTGTTTTGTAGTTGTTTTAAACGTTCACCGGTTAAATCAAAACTCTTTGCATTAACTGGAATTAATAGTGCAGAATGAATTGTGCTGCCACGGATATTAAAAGCAGCAACTCCAGTAGGTGCAAGCACAAGAATTGGTTGAGAAAGATTATATTTTCTTCTAATTTTATCAAATTTGTATCGAATAGCTTTAATAAGGTGAGACTTCCCAGTTCCAGCTGTACCCATGATAATAATTCGTAAAGGTTTTACTTTTTTTCCTGCTATTTTGGCAATATAATTACATTCTAATCTTTCAAGAATTATTTTTTGATTTTCATTTAACGATTCACAATCAATATCATAAATAAAGTCATTAATTTCGTTGTCTGAGGCACTTTCTCTAGAAGCTCGCTGAACAAAGGTACTTGGATCTGCCAGAGTGGGATACCGATCTTTACTTTCTTTAGCCCAATTATAATTTATATCAATACTGCGTGAACCAAGTTCTAAAGATTCATATGTATGTATATTAGGACCTGTCTCTGCAAAGTTCATCCAATCAGGTCGTGAATCTTCTTCACTCTCTTCTTCACTCTCTTCTTCAGTTTGATATTCATTCTGATTAATATCTTTTTCTTCAGGATTGTCTGTAGCTAATCCAAGTATATCAGAAGGCCCATCTTCAATCTCTTGTAAATAACGATCATATAGTTCTGGCCAAGAAAGTGTTCTATTTTCTGTAAGCTGCAAAATATCTCTATGACAAACATGCAATAGTACTTTTATTCGACAAAACTCTTCCCAGCAAGGTCCATTTCGCAATGGAGAAGGACGTGGAAAAATACGTACAATGTTGTTTTTTGTGCAGTGTTTCCATTTCTTCCCTACATATTTATAATTTAGATATAGTTGAAAGAGTGTAAGATCTTGGAGTTCAGGAGGTCGAGTCCAATACAATTGTAAGGATGAAAATCCAGTTTTTACTGTATCATGACTATTGTCACCATTATCATGATTTTTATTACTATTATGAATTAATCTTAGAGTTTCCTTGTTAAGATTTAAAGTTACAAAGTTTCGACTACAATGGTATAGAGGAATTCCAAGTAAAAGGTGACAGGTTTCTTGAGCTGAAAAGTCACGCTCAGATACTGTATGAAGGAGCAGTTTTTGAAAAGACTTAACAGATGGTTCATTAGGTTTGCCATGACGAAGAATTCTATCTAATATGTCAGAAAATGATGCTGATCGAGGTTCACTTTTACTTGCGTACTTGGATACATATTGTAATGCAGCATAAGTAGTAAGTATAGGCTTTAAATCCACATTTGCTCTCCATCCCTGGAGCTGTAAACGGTCATGTGGATTTATATAAGGGTCATTTCTGGCTGTTAATAATTCTGGTTGACCACGACTATTATCTTGTATAATAGTTTTTTCTCTTAATTCTTTGGGAAACCCAAATCTGCAAACTTGCTGACCTGTTTGCTTATTAACTTTTAAACAATGTAGTGTGCTACATCGTGTATGCCGTTGAAGTTTGTTGACCAATTCAACATAGTCTTGCAAATCATCATTACAAAGTTCCATACGCTTTTGACATGGGTGATTATTTGGTATTGGCGCATTTATATCTGGATTAATTGTAGTTATTAAAGAATCCATGTAATGCAAAACATTTTGTATTAGCCTTTCATTATCTTTTATTTTATTCCATTCAAATATTGGACCATCAGCTCTAATTCCAATTCCATGAATATGCGCACTACCACGGTGCTGCCACTCAAAACGGAACCACCAATCTACTAATTTCCACTTTGGAATCAAGACTTTTTCAAAAAAAACATTAAATCTTTTATTAAAGAACCATGCGGCTATATGTGGATTATTAATTAAATCCTGATATCGATATTTAGCAGCCTCTTCACTAGTTATGCCTTCTGTTAGATTTTCTCCATGTGGCATGAGATCATGTAATTCGGGCCAGTGAAAGTCAGCTGAACTGAAAGTAAAAAAGATCATTCCTTTGGACCCTAATTGACATATCATATCAGATAATTCACAGCTACGTCGTGCCCAATATTGACGAGTGCCACGTAATATTTCTCCATAATGTATTACACGATTTGCCAAAGTATTGTTAGATTGTAATAAGTCTTGAACCTCTATAGCAGTAAGTTGTCCCTCTTCTAAATTTTGCTGAACAAATACACGCCCAGATTGCAATGCACGCCATCGCATTTGAGAGTTTAAAGCAAAATAACGCCAACGTGGATGTTGAGCAAAGCGACCATCCTTATATTTTAGAAGATGCTGAAAATATTCAGCTGGTTGTACCTTTTTTATTCGAGGCGCATATAAATCAGCAATGCCTTGAGGATAAAGTGTAGGAAATGCGCGTACTATATACCCTGGAGTATTGAATTCATCAATTGGAGTACGTTCAATTTTAGGCCATTCAATTATTGGAGGTTGATAGTTATTTTGTAAATTGTTTAAAGCCTTATAAATTGCACTGTCTTCACGACATTTGGGAGGTGGAATAGGAATGAAGGTATGTGAAATAATATTTTCTTTATGGATATCATTGCTTTCACATAGTTCTTTTTCATTATTTGACTGATCATCTGAAATCTGTTGGAGCTGTTCGATTATTGAGCCATTTTCAGGTAGTAATAAAAGTATATCTTCAGCAATATCAATATCACGGTAAAAAATATTATTAGCTTTTAGCCAACAGAGTGCTTGATATACTTTTTCTCGTCGAACTTGAAAGTCTTGAAAAGTTGATCCATTAAAAGATGGCCGTCGTATAATAAGTGTGTTTAATGATGATGGATGATGCGGAAGCTGAGTTACAAAGCCTTGTATATCTTGAGAGAAATTAATAACATTTCCTCGATATGCATACTGTCCTCCACGGAGATTATAAACTGATACAATTGGAAAAACCTGAGCAATTAGCATTTCTTCGATGTTAGTAAGGCCTTGAAGTTCTTGGGGTACATCTCCTAAATTATATTCTTTACAAGTTATTTATCTATTTATTTATAATTTATAATAATTTCAATAATTTATATATACCTGGATTCATATTATTTTTAGCTGAAAATTTTTTTGGAGTATTTTTTTCCATATAACATCGATGACATTCACCTTGATAGAGTATAATAGATGGAAAACGTTCATCACATGTTGGGCATAGCTCGTTTTTAAGCGTTGTCATTTTTTTGCGAAAAGTATTTAAAAGTTTTTTATCAGACTCTGCAAGCTGAAATTGATCAATTTTTAAGTTCTCTTCTATTTCCATATACTCATCAGTTTCTGAGCTTAGATATTCACAATTGTGTTCATTATATTTATTAGTGGTTTCTGTAGTTCTTTTTTTTTTCCAATTGTTACGCCTATGTTCAAGACGTAATTCTCGTTCTTCAACAGTTTCAGCAGCTCTTTTTTCTTTTTTTCGATTACGATCACGTGCAAGACGTTCTTCTCGCTCAGTAGTAGTTTCCATATCTACTTTCTTTTGTTTTTGATTGTGTTCATGTTCAATATGCATTTCTTGTTCTTCAGCAGTTCTGGCTTTTCTTTTTTCCCTTTTTTGTTCTCGGTCACGTGCAAGACGCATTTCTTGCTCTTCAGCAGTTTCAGTAGCAATTTTTTTTCGCTTTTGATCACGAAAATATTTTAAACGTGCTTCTTTATTTTTATTATTAATTTCAGTGTCTTCAGTATTCATCTATGTGTTAGAACAATTATAAGAATTGAGAAAAAGAACAATTATATATAATATTGAAAAGATGCAAGAATTTTTATTTACGCTCAATATATTAATATACTAAACTTTTTATTATCTTTTTTTTTTTTTTATAAATATTATACAGTTGAAAATAAATTATTACACTTTTAATCAATATATTTTTTTATTAATTACATGAATTGTATTTTATTAATGTCACTATTTATTGTTTTTTAATCTTACGCGAATTGGCTTTATTAAAACTTACTACTATATCACGCGTTTAATCAATTTACATGAATTGTACTTTTATTATTATCATTATATTACGCGAATTAACTTTATTAGAACTTATTACATTATGGTTACTACATTAAAGAAAAACTCGATATTTCATTATTAGCCAAAATATTTTGCTTTTGCAATTTATAAACGAAATTTTTAATATCTTTTAAAGAGGCCAATGTTGTTTTATTACTGTCGTTATTATATAAAGATCATATAACCATAAGTAATTGTGAAAAATTAATATCGAATATGGATGTTCAATTAGATCAAAATTTGCATGTAGAAGTTAAATTGAAATTAAATTTTTGATTTAACTTATGAAATCTGTACATATGTGACCGACGTTGGAACCCAAAATTTCTTACATATTGGCTGGACTTAAGATCCTCCGCTCTGCTCCGGAAATTATTATGTTACGTTGTTTCACAGCCGATTTAGTGATATACAGTATGATGATCGAAGTATCCCAATACGTAATTGATATAGAAAACAAGTACAGTAAGCATTTTCTTTAATATTTCAAGGTCTGATGACATGATCTATATAAAACTAATACACTATAAACATTCAAAATAGAAAAAAAACATCATCCAATAGGCGAAATTTTGCCAAGAAAAAATTTTTATTTCATGCAAAAAATAAATACTAATGTTTGGGATGTAGGATAATTTTTTTTTGATTCTAGCCCTCTTGTTATCTAAGGAACTATAGGGGTACCATATTATTGTGGACATTTTTTAAAAATTTATATCAAGCTAAATAAGCATACTATTAATTTAAAATTGTGTAAACAATTGAATAATAATTTGATTGTATTGAGTTTTGTCTAGCAAAAAATTCGCACGCATGCGCTTTCATGCACATCCATGCACAAGTTTCCAAAAAATGCGTATTTTTGCCTAACCCTAGTGAATTAGGATGAAAATTTTCAGGAAAATGGTATAATTAAACATAAAGATAGTATAATATACTATAATTTATTATGGACTCTTGGTAAGTTTAAAAGGTCCTTTGCATGACAGCTCTCATTGAATACGTAATTCTTCATGATGATTGGCTGATTTAAGGTCAAACTAACCGGCCATATTGATTTAAAGAAAAATCTGGTTGCTTTTATAGTAAACAATTTTGCAATCTTTGCATTGTATCTAACTTCGTTCCCAATAGCAACACGTACATAAATAAATGTCAATACTAATATAATCTGATAGCCACTTGATTGTTACTGGGATGATTTCAAAATTTGAATAGCACCCGATACTATAGAGATCCAATCCGGATAAATCCGTCATCCGTTTATCCGTATCTGAATTATCCGGATAATTCAGATCGGATAAACAGATCCGCTATCCGGATAATCCGACTGATATTCGGATAATTAGTTGAATATCAATTGTAAACAGATATCCGATCCGAACTTTATTTGGATATCCGATAATTATTCGGATAAACGCTATCCGGATTGGACCTCTACGATACTATCTAAAAGGAATACTTTTTCAGGGGCACTGTATGCAGCTATAAATTCTTATGCGCACATTAAAATTTTTGTAAGCTGCAAAAAAAGTTTATAAGTTCTCTTTAAAAATAAAATAATTGCATAGATTAGATCTGTTTATATTAATATTATGATGCTTATTCGGAACTTTGGTATGCAAGTTTTTAAGTTTATCATATAGTCAATTTTTTTGCCATATTTATGTTCAATTCTGCAAGATAAGTACTGAAGGCGCTCTCAAGCACCTTTCTCAATGGGCTCAACAAATTTTATCAAACTATTCATTGAGAGCTGTATGAAAATATCCTAATTTAAAAATGAGATACGTAATCTATGTTATCGAGGTATTAATATATAAAAATAGCGCATCTATCGTCATAATAATATCAAAATTGACATTTTTTGAAAAGCTTTCAAATGATTGCTTTGGACTTCTTGATGATAAAGAAGATTTTAACGTAATTATTAATGTTGGAGAATCACCAAATAATAAAATATTCCAAGCACATCCAATATTTTAAGATGTAGAATATTTGTATTTTAGTAATGAATTAGCGAATATTAACAAAGATAAAAACAACATTAATCCGATGAATTTAAACCATATTTCTATTCAAAAATTTGAAGTAATTATTAGGTAAGCTATATATTTTTGTGAGCTAATAAATTTAGCCTTTATCTTAAAGGTACAAATCTTACTAGTTTACTAAGATGACGGTCACTCAGTTTATGTGTTACGTGTATGCGGGACTAATTTCAAATTATTATATTTCTTACTAATTTAATGAAGGTATATTTACGGAGGTGTGATTCCGTTAAAAAACGACCAAGACGTATCATTTATTTTTGATCTCATCCTTATTGTTTCCGAATTTCATCTTGATGAATTAGCAAAGCATCTTGAAGAACAGTTAATTAAAGAAAATGAACACTTGCTCCGTTTAAACTTTGCTCACGTTTATCATAAAGTTTCCAAAATGAAAAACTTCAAGAATTACAAAAATTGAGTAATGATATTTTGGCAAAGTATCTGGATAAGTTTTTTGAATCAGAGATTTTACTTCACTTCCAGAAAATGCGCTAATTTCGCTTGCTCAAAATCCAGATTTTCCGACTGATACTAAAGAACATTAAAGAATACTTTACGGAATTGTTTGCCTCTTATTCGCTATTTACAAATGTCTAATGAAGAATATCCTTGAAGAAAATCTTTGGAATGATATATTCCAAAAATTGATTATTCCAAATAGACCAATATTATCAACAATCCTTTCACCTCGTAAAATTTTAACATCAACATTACCATCTAGAGTAACTGAATCATTTCCTTCAACAGTTATCAATGAAGCTCATGCAGCAGAAATAGCATCATGGGTTGTTAAGAAAACTGAAGCGTAGTCAGTAACTAATAATCCATATAAATTTAAATTACTTCTTCGTGGAATAAGAGATGAGTTTACTGCTCGATCATTTTGGAATTTGTGCAATGGGCAAGCAAACACTGTTGTAGTAATGAAGGTTAATGGTACGGATGAAATTTTTGATGGATATAATCCAATCCAATGGGATCATCCGAATAACTCAGGTAATTTTTATGAGAGATGCAATGATTGCTTTATTTTTTCGTTTATTCAATCCTCTATTTTAAGCCGTGCAAAAAAAGGTGCAACCGCGATTTATTGTCTGTCTAATTTTGGACCAACTTTTGGCGGTGGCCATGATATTGTTGTGGGAATGGTTGTAATTTCAATCAAGTTAATAGTTGTGCTTGTAGTCATTGTTCATATGAAGAAGCAATTAGAAACCAGAGTGGTGTATCTCGATTTCATGTAACAGAATCTGAAGTATTACAAATTCAGAAAGAGTAGTATCCAACAAATAGTTTATTCAATATTTTTCGATTTTCATATTTATACAACTAACTAGCTACTGTGCGGGCGACGAAGTCGCCGCTTGCAGTTTTGAATCATCATTTGATTCAACATGTAATATGCTTAACTAGTTATAGTCATATATTCAAATTGAATTATCAGTGTATTAATTAGCAATTATACATTGATAAATTTATCAACACAGTTTATTTCGGTTGCTCTTTTTATTGCGGGTTGCAAAAATATGTGAAATTTGAAGATAAAAAAAAAAAAAAGAAATCGATGATTTCTGATTCTGATTTCCGATCTTTTTAACATTTTTTTAGACTTTTAGATTAGACTTTAATATACATAAGATTTATAAAATATGTATAATAACTTCAAATCTAATATAGTTATTAAAATTATGTATATTAAAGCCTAATCTTAAAATCCCAATAGCATAGCAGAAGTTCGTTTTGATTGGTTGTTAAGATACCCCGGAAAAAATGTCGATCATACCCCGGATATAATCCCGGACAAAAATTTTATAACTCGCGAACTTTTAAAAAATTAGTCAATACACTCTAAAGACATT